CCCCAAAACCCCAAAACCCCAAAACCCCAAAACCCCTGGAGGTAAAATTGCTTCTAAATACATAACTTCAATGAAAATGCTTATATTGAATAGAGTGACATTAATAATATTTTAGATCTTTAGAAAGCATAATAGTTTAAATTTCCTAAAACTTTGTAAGTTTGAACCCAAAATCTAGTCATTGGGCTTTTTCAAAAGGCTAATGACAATTTTGCTACATCACATAGTCTCTTCATCTCACTACTAAGTTAGAATGGACTATTATGGTTGTCTAAATATTGTTTTGTTAGATTTCTTGTATTTTCTTCCCCCACTTTTCTTTCTTTTTTCCTTATGATAGATGCTTAGATAGCAATTCTTACACTATCCCTTTGCATATAATTTCCTATCTAAGTGTGGACAATCCGTTGCCCGTTTATTTCTCCCCTCACGGTGGTAGCAGTTCCTGCACATACCATTCGCATAATATTAGTCATTTGAGTGGCCACAATGAACGGCCTTGACTATTTTCTTGAATTTGCTTTGAGAGCTGCTTTTAAAGATCACTTTTGAGTTCTTACTCAATTTTAATGGATTTCTAAGTTTGTTTAAAGCAGGGTTATAATTTTGATTGCTCTAATCCATCTGGTTTGGTGTCTCCAAGTTGGATATGATTGAGTTTAATACTTCTAATATATGCAGTGATTTATTATTCGGATTCTTAATAGTTTTGCTGCATTTTTATTTGCATTCTGATCTTGTCTGGGAATTAAAAGTTTATTAATTTAGAACCGACTAATTATTATGGGGTCTTCCAGGGGTTGACTCCTCTATTGACCCTGAATTATGTCTGAACGAATCCTCCGAAACTGGGTAATCTGATAATTCAAAGGATTTAGTCGAAGCATATTACAGTCCATATCTCTCTTTATCTGTATCTTTCTCAATCGTATTTGCACTTTAATCACAATTATCATTAAACTGCTCTTAATTATAATTGTGATCTGCATACTGAAATTCTGAAATTAAAAGGTCTTCGGTTGAAACAAAAGATAATTTGGAACATGTAAAGGCGTCAAATTCTTAATGACACAATTCTAGCCAATTTTACTTTTTCTCGAATTCAAAGTCAAATTCCTCATATTTCAAATCACTCAACATTCTATAGATTTTCTAGGCAAATAATTTAGTTTAATTGTAATTAATTCTAATTAGCTTCAATTAAATTAATTTACACATTTTATAGAATCCTAATCTGATGGGGTTTTGGGGTTTTGGGGTTTTGGGGTTTTGGGG